ACGTGCACGGTTGTCACGATCATAGATTCTACACTTGTTGATAAGCGTTGGGTAGTGATAAATCTCTTGATAATTGATTGCTTTCTTTACCTCAGGACGAAGGCCATTCCCGAACTTAATGCACTTAGCCCTTTCACCACCCTCACCATGGTAGTGAGTATAATAGCGAACCAAAGCATCAAATTTGGCAGCATACTCTGCCACTGTATCATTCCCTTGCACGAGCTCAAGGAATTCCACTTCCTTTTGACTCCTCACATCATCCCGAAAATACTTCTCAAGGAAGACCCTCTTGAAGTTGTCCTAATTCAAGTGCACTCCTTCATCAATCATCCTCTGAAGTGCTCCTTCCCACAAAAAATGGGCATCAGTAGTCATCATGAAGGTAGCTAACCTCACCTTCTGAGCGAGGGGACACTCCATCGCATTGAAGATCTTCTCGATCTCTATTATCCAATTCATTGCAGCATATAGGTCATATCCTCCTTTGAAGGTAGGTGGATGATTTCGCTAAAATTGCTCCAACCAGTTAGGAGCGACTTCAGCCCTATTGTTATTACTCATAGCTTAAAACTCACTTCATACAACCAAAAATCATACTCAGATAACTAGCCTAAAACTGTCTTGGATAAATCCTCACTCTTAACTAAATCCTCGCTCTTAACTCAAATCTGATGATATCACACCTTGAGGTCAACCTTACTAACCACACAAACATCCACTAATTAATCCTCGTATCAACATACACACATAACAAATCATCTTAGAATACCTACTTCAAACATGTGATATATATCATCCCTAAGCATGTACAAATCAATCACTGTTTACACCACATAACATGTACATGAACTAAATTTACCACATAGCATCATACAACCTTAAACAACCTCTCAATCCACATGAAATCTCAGAACATCATGACAAAATCAATTTTTATCCTTACATTGCCTAACAACTCAAAAATATCATAACACCATACATATCCCTTCAACAACTTTCAAATAAAATGATACCTAGAGAGTTATACTCATCCAAATGATCTCAAACCTATCTCAAAAGAAAGCTAAGAGAATAAGATACAATTCTTATGGAGACATGAGATTCTAAAAAGATCATCTTCTTAGCTAAGAAATTCAAAAACCACAACAGATATATTCAGCGCTTACACCTAGACCTTTAATCACCAAAGTGGCTATAACTGGAGTTCTAGACCTTTGTTTTACCTGATTCTAGTTCCATTGGAAAGATGACATCCAAGACTACAACTTTTGTGAAGATCATAAAATCTAAATCTGTCAATACGGTACTCATACTGGCACAACAAAACTGCAACGAAAATATTCTCTACACCAAACAACAATAGTGTATCAACATCTAAGGCCATGAAAATACCTCAACCCTTCCAAATCCACTCCTTTCTACCTCAAACTCATATCCAAGCTTCTCACTACAATCCTAAACCAAAAAAACTCACATATTCAGTACAAAAGACTTAGAAAATAAAACTCACATGCTACCTAAGCCATAAAAGGTTAACATCCAAGCACCAAAACTCAAGAAAATCACTGACCTTTCAACCTTTCATTGAGAACACTCAACTCCAATTCTCAACATATAACCTCATAGGATTCAATCACTACAACTATAGATTCCAGAAACTCCATCAACCATAAACTCTCAATACACTCAACAAATCAATTTCTCACCCACATCCAAGGTTCCAATAGTTTCTAGTTAATTAGCACAATATCTCGTCTACTACTACTCACACATATGCTTGCATCACAAGCAATATCACTCATCCACTACTTCTTACGTAAGTAAGAAGCAAGAAGTATCAAACAAATAAGCACTCATAAGAATGAAGAAGAGCAGTCATAATGATATTAGCTATCACTATCTATCATTCCTCTAATTACAATATAATCTAACAGTATCAAACTCAACAATATCAACACAAGAGATCATCATTATCAAACCAAAGCATCATCAAAGTACATAACAAACAAAACACCGTCAGAGTACACAACAGAATCATGATAAGTACATAACTCACGGCCGATTGGATCAACCTTCTCTGATACCACTTAATGTGACACCCTCTACCCCGCATATCATAATACAAATAATAAAATTTGGAATACTACAGTCTTTCATTTTTAAAATGCCAAACATGTTCAGATAGAGAGCACCACTTTCATAACTTAAACAAATAACATAATCGGTGGTAATTATAAAAGAAATAAGGTTAAGGTTTTCAAAATAATTTAACAGAAACAACATCCTAATTTAATCTTATCTACACCCCGATGTTACATGTCCTATTAGAGAAAATCCCAACATAAAAGCCTAAGCTTCATCATCAACATCCTCAGCCTCATGCTGATAATCACCTGTATGACAGTCAAAGAAAACAACACAAGAAAAAAAGCAGTGAGAAACATCTCACTCTGGCTCACAGTGTAGAAATATACGCCGGATATCCAAACACAAACAAAACAGGTATAACATAGATAAATTAATAATAACATCACATCTCACTCATCCAAGACATATCAATTTTTCATATAATTAACATTAAAATGCACATGTATGGACACAAACTACATTTTATCATGCATGTGGCACCAGTAACATATCACATGGCATATTACTGCTAGCAATACATGAAGAGTAGTCTAGGAGTACATGCCAAGTCACACCTTCTGCGCACTCTCACTAGAAGGACATTCTACCAGAGTCTCGTCGGGATAGCTAAGCCGCACAAGATACATCCCATGCACACAATGGGCAAGACTGGGACTTACAAACCGAGCTATTCCCAAGGACTAATCCCCAAAGCTTTTACACTAGGGAGCCTTCTCTAGCAGTGTATTCCATATCGTACCTTAAAACATTTATGCACATGATGCATGTCAATCAAGACTCGATGCTTTTCTCATATCATGTTATCATGTTTCATTCTCATATCACATTGTCATGTCTCATTATCATATTCACATTATCACATTATCACATCTCATTGTCATATCACATTATCACATCATATTCACAATTTTCACAGAGCACTTTAATTCATATCAAAACTCATCTATTTGCGAAATTAAATACATATTCATACATCTCCTACAACAAGAAATACAACAGAACAATCAGAAGGTAAAATAGAAAATATTAGAAATATGCTTGTTTCTCATAGGGTTCTCACAGGAACCCATAGAGCACTCTAATTCATATCAAAACTTGTTTATTTTCAAAATTAAACACATATTTACACTCAGCAAACATCAAGGAACACAAAAGATAACTCAGAAGATAAAACAGAAACATTTAAAATTTGTCTCTTACAATTACCAATGCAATCCCTTAGGGTTTCCCACAGGAACCAATAGAGATCTCAAATTACACATTTATATTTAAATATACAAAATATAATAGAAGAAACATATATAATTAGGGAAAAGTCCTTACATGAGCATACAACAACAACAACAAACATAGGATTGAGGGTCAATCCCACTACCCAACATACATTACCACACCCAGAGCAAGGTTTCTCACTCTCCCCTTACCTCGATAAGCAAGAGCTGAAACTAAAGCTAGATCTTGTTGGTCTCCTCCTCTGGGTTCCCCCTTGGTCTTCAGAGAGTATAGAAGAAAAAGAGGTGAAAAGTGAAAAATGTGTTTTTGGAGTGACAAAACGTTTTATTTATAAGCATCAGTAGTCGCCAGAATGGCCTGTTTCAAATCCAGAATCGCCTGTTCTGGACTTTCTCCAAAGATCAAACACTTAAGCATAAGTTTAGTAGGAACACATACTCGATCTCAATGTCTTACCACTCCATCTATACTTAAGGAAAACTCTTATCCATTACCTTGTCCTATAACCTCCTATCTTGTCACCAAAATGAATCAACTAATTATGCTTCTCCAATTTCCTTCGATAATCCCTAATTTGAGCCAAAAGATCCATCTCCCTAATCATAAGGGAAGATAAATGTAGAGGTTTCCTACTCAAAGCATCAACCTCCACATTGGCTTTACCCAGATACCAACTAAGATTAAAATCCTAGTCCTTAAGAAATTCTAACTATCTTTTTTTTCTTCTTCTTCTCATATTCAATTTCTTTGGGTCAAATAGATATTTAAGGCTCATATGATCACTAAATACCTTAAGCGTAGAATCATATAGGTAGTGTCTCTAGATCTTAGTGTAAATATTACAACCGCTAACTTAAAGTCATGGCTAAGGTAATTCCTCTAATGAATTTTCAATTGCCTAGAAACATAAGCTACTACCTTTTCTTCTTACATCAACACTCCACCCAAGCATAACTATATACCATAAAAGACTTAATAAAATCTGGTAATATTAACACTAGTCAATCTTTTCTTAAGAATTTGGAAACTACTCTCACACTTACTATCCCACACGAAGACAACACTCTTCCTATTCAATCTAGTCAAAGGTAATGCTATCTTAGAAATTTTCTTAATAAATCTCCTATAATAATAAACTAACCCAAGAAAACTCTTAACCTCACTAACTGACTTTGGTATCTCCCACTTAAGCACAATTTCTACCTTACATAGATCTACATTATGCCTCCGCTAGAAATTACAGGACCTAGATAAGTCACCTCATACAATCAAAAATCATACTTAGATAACATAGCATAAAGCTATCTTGGATATATCCTCATCCTCAACTCCAATATGATGATATCACTCCCTAAGATCCCTCTTACTAAACACACAAACACCCACTAATTAATCCATAAGTGCATCTATCCTCAGATCAACATACACACATATCAAATCAAAATCTAAACAAGATACAGGAAAATCCAACTTTTGGACATAAGAGACAGAAATAAAGGAATGAGTTGCAACAGAATCAAACAGTACAACAAAAGGAGTCTCAACTATGAAACAAGCACCTTGTATCAAATTTTTTGACCGAGAAGCTTCAGCACCACCAAGAGAAAATACTCTCCCTACAGCCTTTGGACGCTCAATTTGGACATCCGATCCAGTAACACGTGGTCTTGGCGGTTCAAGACACTGGTGCTGATGTGACCATTTCCTCTATAATTGAAACATGTGACCTCCTTGTCAAGACATTCATAGCTAGTGTGACCATGTCGCCCACACTTCTTGCATCGATCTGTGGGAGTAGAAATAAAGCCTCCAACACACCCTATGCCACTCACCACAGATCTTCCAACATAAGGCTTGCTTCCTGCAACATGTGACTTGCTCCCACTAGCAGTAACTTGATTCCCTTAGAACTTAGCAGGAATAGAGTAAGGTTTACTCTTACTTGAAGCACCAGAACTTACAGCACGCATAGGACCTCCAGCTCCCTTGTAGAAAGTGGCACGTGCACGGTTGTCACGATCATAGATTCTACACTTGTTGATAAGCGTTGGGTAGTGATAAATCTCTTGATAATTGATTGCTTTCTTTACCTCAGGACGAAGGCCATTCCCGAACTTAATGCACTTAGCCCTTTCACCACCCTCACCATGGTAGTGAGTATAATAGCGAACCAAAGCATCAAATTTGGCAGCATACTCTGCCACTCGATCATTCCCTTGCACCAGCTCAAGGAATTCCACTTCCTTTTGACTCCTCACATCATCCCGAAAATACTTCTCAAGGAAGACCCTCTTGAAGTTGTCCTAATTCAAGTGCACTCCTTCATCAATCATCCTCTGAAGTGCTCCTTCCCACAAAAAATGGGCATCAGTAGTCATCATGAAGGTAGCTAACCTCACCTTCTGAGCGAGGGGACACTCCATCGCATTGAAGATCTTCTCGATCTCTATTATCCAATTCATTGCAGCATATAGGTCATATCCTCCTTTGAAGGTAGGTGGATGATTTCGCTAAAATTGCTCCAACCAGTTAGGAGCGACTTCAGCCCTATTGTTATTACTCATAGCTTCTGCTAATTCTTGAAGGGCATCGGCAATCGCACGATCATTTCTACCAGCCATAATCTAAGAAAATAGTACACACAACTAACAAATATAATCAATCATCACACTAGCATATCAATAAATTCCACAATCAATTCATCTACCAAACAAGCATGGCAGACTCATAACTCACGGCCGATTGGATCAACCTGGCTCTGATACCAGTAAATGTGACACCCTCTACCCCAACATACATATACAATAATTATAAAAATAAAATTCTTCATCATTAAAAACCAAATCTCCAACCACATAAGGGTAAAGAGTTCACATTCATAAACTTAATCCAAATAACATGTTAGTGAAATTACATGAAATAAAACTGAGTTTTCAAATAGTTAATGGAAATAGCATCCTAAACTAAGCCTAGCTATGCGTCGATGTCACATATCCTATCAGAGCATGCCCAACTGAAGCCTAAGCCTCATCACCAACATCCTCACGCTGATGATCACCTACAACACAATTTAAACACATACAAATAATAATAAGGGAGTGAGAAACATCTTACTCAGGTTCAGGTGTAAAAATAAAGGTTAGATAGTACAAACACATACAACAAACATATTACAAGTTACAAGTACCAATCACACATAAACAATACACATACATAATCAGTATCACATGTACACTCATTTATCATGCAATGATGTCATGGACTCGACTCATAAATGCATGTGGGCCAATCACGTGTCTCATAATCACATTTCTCATCATTTCATCACTGGTGACCCAAGGTACACCTTGTTAGCTTGTTACATCACCAGTGACCCTAAGGTACACCTTGTTAGCTTGTTACATCACCGGTGACCCTAAGGTACACCTTGTTAGCTTGTTACATCACTAGTGACCCTAAGGTACACCTTGTTAGCTTGTTACATCACCGGTATGCGGCCTAAGCGGCACACCTAGAATAGATCATAGATGCACATGATGCATGTCACACATCCACTATTTCATTGACTCAACATTTCACTTATCACGCCTCATCATATTTCATGTCACATTATTTCACAATATCATATCACAGATCATACGTTCACCTTTCACATTCTCACATCATGTTCACATAGTCTCATTCAAGATACTCCTCGTATTCATATACAAAAATCATACCAAGTAATTATCCAAAACATGAAGCCATATCAATTTTACATATATTGCCTCAAAATCCTCCAAAGATCATATTCCTAATTTTACTTCATAGGGTTTCCCACAAGAACCCACAGAGCACTCTAATTCATATCGAAACTTGTCTATTTTCAAAATTACTTACATATTCATACATCTCATTCAACAAGAAACACAATAGAAGAATCAGAAAGCAAAACAGAAAACATTTACATTTTTCCTATTTCTTATAGGGTTCTCTTAAGAACCCACAAAGCACTCTAATTCATATCAAAACTTATCTATTTTTGAAATTAAACACATCTTTACACTCAACATCACACAAGGAACATAACGAGACTTTTAGAAAGTAGAACAGAAAATATTCATATTTTGTCTGTTCCTAGAAGCATGCAACAAGCAAGGGATTGGGAGCCAATCCTACTACCCAACAATTATTCCCACATCCTCGAGCGAGGTTTCTCACTCCCCCTTACCTGGATAAGCATAAGATGAAGCTAGAGCAGAATCTGGCTGATCTCCTACTCTTGGTTCTCCTTGGTCTTCAGAGAGTGTGTCCAGAAATAATGCTAGAGTGCTTTATTTAAAGATTTCAAGAGTGGCCAGAATGGCCCGTTTCGAATCTGGAACGGCCCGTTCTGGACTCATTCGTCATGTGCAAAATTGTACATCCAGAACGGCCCGTTCTGGGGTTACATTTTAACCCATAACGGCCATGTTTGGAACGGCCCGTTCTTAAACTAGAACAACCTGTTCCCAACTAGGGTTACAAGCCTTTTTAATGGTTTGGAACGCCCCATTCCAATTTGGGAACGCCCCATTCCCAACTAAGATTTGTAGGCAATTTTAGTATTTTGGAACGACCTGTTCTAGGCTACTAAATCACCCTTATAAATTTATGAAAATTACTAAATTACCCTCAATAAAGGTATGAAAACTGGAGTGTTACATTGTTTGCTACAGTATATTATCCAAGCCGACCATGGTTGATGGAATAACACTAAGGCTAAGAAGTCCAAGAGGTGA